AATTTATTTATGCCAAATGATATAGTAGAAATTGATTGATGATTTATTTATGCCAAATTATATAGTAGAAATTGATTTATATCATTAATATGCCGAATTGTTTATTTTTGATGAATGTTACACAAGTGACATTATGCCAAATAAATATTTTTCGACTAGTGTTATTAGACAACAGATTATTATACATGATGATAAATACAATTAAAAATCATGCAGCAGTAAATTTTTAAATTAAAATTTCTTTTTATTAATTCAATCCCTATTTTAATATACAGTATACATTTAATTTGACTAAAATTTTAACGATTAAAGATCGGCGAACAGGCGTTGCGTTCTTTTCGGCGGATGCTGTAAATAAGAAATTTGTATATATTTAATCTGGCTATATATTTTTCTATTTAAATAATATACAGTATGAGATCTATTGTACACTAGAACAACAGCGTTGTTACTGCTTGATCTCCAGGTCAAGTACCGTACTATCTATATAAAGAATCAATTCGCTTTTATAAAGTGTTTCTGAATTAGCCTCTGGATTTCCTACATTTTTTGTGTTTTCCAAATTTTCTATACTCGGTATTATTTCATCGGGTTCTTGTAAAATATTTAAAATAGCTTCATCGTTTTGCCATTCGTTAAGAACTTCATAAATTTTCTTCGCGGGCGGGCGATTTTCGGGATTTTTATCCCAACATTTTTTCATAAGATCCACATAACATTGCGGTGTGGCTTCTATGATTGGAGGCCGTAAGTCATTAAAACACACCTGGATTTGAAAGTTTAACTTGGATGAATAGGATGAGTTGTCGAAAGGTATAGATTTTCCCGACGAAATTTCCCACATGACTATACCAAATGAGTAGATGTCCGACTCCATGGTATATGGTTTGCCACATAAAATCTCCGGAGCTACATACGGTAAGATTCCATAGATTCCATTGCGTTTCGTTTCTACGCCGCTCACTTTGCTAGAAAGACCTAAATCTGAAATGTATCCATTATCTAGACTATCTTGTAGTACATTACCACTATGCAAATCTCGGTGAATGAGGTTTTGTGAGTGAATTATTTGGAGGTCAAAAGAAATGCATAATAATAAATCAATCTTCTCTTTCCATTTCATCTGCGCCACGGAACAAAGATTTTTACGTAAAGATCCCATTGGAAAATAATCCATAATAAGAATATAATCGCCTGATGGATTTTCCTTTGATATCCCGTGGCAATGTATAGATAAAGGGTTTTCGCAACCAACATCACAGTAAGCTTTTAGCTTATTATATAAAATAAATAAATAAATAAAAATTTTCACGTTAGGTAAAAAGATTTTTTAGTCCATAAATCACTGAAATATCCTCAATAATTACTTCTTTCATAAATTCCTTGTGGCAATTTCCTGACCCGTGAAGCAATTTAAGTGCGACATCGAAATTTTTCCACGTAGCGTAGTACACAGTTGAAAATCCACCTCTTCCTATCTCCTTAGTATTTTCAAATTCTTCATAAGGAATCCAAGATAATGAATATTTTTCTTCATCAAGTATCTCTTTTAATTCATGTTCAATATCATAATTTTTGCGAGCTTGATGATTTGCGGCTGCAAATATTTAACCATTAATCTTAAATCATTCAATAAGTGGAAAAAAACGAAATTCAATAACAATGGTACAAACCCTGCAATAAATTTCTCTGGCTATACCAATGGGTAGTCATTCGTAGATTTCTTTCTACTTCGATTCTGCCAACATTATACGTTCCGGTTTCATCACCCATCTCCGCGGATTTTTTATAGTACTCGAATGCTTTCTGTTCGTCCTTTTTCACTCCCATCCCTTTCTCGTAACAATATCCAACATTAGATATTCCCTTCGCATACCCCATCCCAGCTGATTTTTGATAAAATTCGAATGCCTTATGTTCATCCTTTTCAATTCCAATGCCTTGATGATAACAATAGCCAACATTATATATCCCAATCATGTCACCCATCTCGGCTGCTTTTTGATAATATTCGAATGCCTTACGCTCGTCCTTCTCAACTCTGATTCCATCGAAATAACAATTGCCAACTGCACGCGTTCCACCTGCATCGCCCATCTCTGCAGATTTTTGATAATGTTCGAATGCCTTATGCTCATCCTTCTCAACCCCAATCCCATGCTGATAGCAAAAACCAACTTTAAACACACCACCGGGGCAACCTACATTTGCTGATTTTTGACAATATTCAAATGCCTTATGTTCATCTTTTTCAATCCATTTACCCAAACGATAGCTAGATGCAAGAAAGCAACAGGCAATACCATTTCTTTCATCATTCGAACACCAATTAATTATATCCTCTGGTTTTTGATTTCTTCCTGCCAAAAACCGATCAATTAGTTCAAGAATTAACCTGGTATCCCTCCCCTTTTTTCTTTCTTCCGCGTATATGTCACACAATTCATTAATAATTTTATATTGAATATTTTCACTCGGTCCTTCGTCTGACATTCCGAACATATAAAAGACACTAGCTCCAATTGGACTAAAGATTTTAGCCAATAAAAAAAACTCTATATCACGTGACCAAAGATTTGGTTTCTATATCTGATGTGTAAAAAACGAATCGCGTAAAATTGTAATTGGAAAAAAAAAAGCAATGAATAAAAAGAAAGACGTTGACTTACAGACTAGTATAAACAAGTTCGACTCGATGTTGGAATTGGTTGGTCGATTGCGTCGCGTACGGTCTTTGCTTAATGGGATCGCTGATATCATCCATCTTTTTCGTTAGGTGGAAAATCTTCGGGGTTCTTTTAACATTATTTGTGATTATCTAGACGAAACTTGGAAGGTAGCTGGCTTTCCAGGTAAGAAAAAGATTACACGCTCTTGTCTTCATCTTCCTACTTTTATTAATGAATTCGCGAATTCCAAGAAAGTACAGGTGGTTTCGAACGGGGGAAAGGAGATAATGTTGCGAAATCCGTTGACCTTGACAAGTTTAGTACGATGAATGATGCGTGTGTGGATATGTTGGATAAAATTTGTAATTTGGCGAAATCAAGCGTAGGTTAGAGGCAACATTTAAACCATATAGAAAAATTTGATTCGCTTGATTTTACCAAATGTGCCCGATAAATTTATTCGTTCAGGTGAATTGGAATACGCGAGAAATTTGGCGACGGCCTGGGCAGACAACGCAGGAATCCCCGATAAAAAGTATGTCTTACATTTTTACGTTCACGAATTATTCTTTAAAGAAGCTTAACCTCAAATCTCAAATTCATGCAGGTTTTCATCACTAAATATTAGTGAGAATGTTAACAGAGGAATTAATCATAAGGAAGTAATGCAAAAAAGATGCCAGCAAATGACAAAGTAGGCAAAACAAATAATTAATAATATCACATATTGCACCTACATTTTAAATAATAGTATCATGCTTTTTTTTTTTTTTTTTTTTTAATTTGTAACGAATCGAAGTCTATATTACGAGCAGAGTAACACGTACTTTAAAAGGCACCGTGAGGGAAATCATATCATTCCCGAACTTCCAATTTTCAGAGCCACAAGAGCTTATGACGCACGGTGAGCACAGATATCTATTTAATCGCCGACAGAGTGCTAGACAGATATTTATTCATTTCAGTCAACTCAACAACACGATCGATAAATGGCTATCGGAAGCTAAGAAAAGGTCATACAGCGTGGATATCGAGAAGATTGAATTCGATTCATCTAAGAGAGTCACGGGATTGATGGTATTATCATCGGTCGTCTTTTTTAGATTCGAGTATTTTCGCAATTGATATTCCATAATTCATTCATTGATTCAGGTATCAGTCAATAATTTATTAAAGGCCGGAATAATATTAAAATATGACGACATCAACGGATCATTTGTCTCATTTGTCAGATTAACAATATTTGGTCATCACGAAAAAGTAAGTCCGTTTGCGATTTCGTGAAGACGCGAGAAGTCTAATTTTAAATTAAAACTTAGAAATCAATCCGAGAGACCTCAGATACAATCGAATTTCAACGCATAACTCAAATTGGGCTTAATTTGCTGAATGATTTAGACGCCAAAGATCCTTTTCCAATATTATTGGTAAACTTTACATCAATTATCGATTCGAAATATAATTGGCAATTGTGTTAACTTATAACAAATTTTCTTTTAGGATTGGATATCCAGCTATCACGATCTGTATACTGCCAAGTGCAAAAAATGTGACAAGATTTTATCTCATGAGTCATATAATTATAAATATTTGCCATCGGTCTTAAGGGTGCTAATAGGTGGAAATTTTGTACCTTATCATTGGCAATGCTATAACTCATAGCAGTTGTCGTCAAATACCAAATTCCCGGTAGCTCTTTTGTCGTTTCTTAGAATTTTCCCGTTATTTTTTTAATCCCACCTTTGCGTCTCTTTTTTATTTTACCACTGCTTTGAACTCTCTTAACATCATTTGAGCTCAATGTCAACATGCCACCTTTAATCTTTCCAATGCCCATTCTAATACCTCTGTCTCGTTTGGATCGACTCTTCTGCTTGGCAGATGATGATGCTGCCCATTTATGCTTAATGGATCGGTGATATAGTCCAAGGTTTTTTGCCTTTTCCATGGAATAAAAATTTGATATCAGATAACAGTAAAAATGTATGTCGAGCAGTGATCAAACAAATAATATCGTCACCTCTTCAAGCTCTTTCTTTTCTCGCTCCTGACGTTTCGCTTGCATGCCTAATGAAATGGGTGTCGGTATCTTATTTCCTTTCGGAGACTGGTCAATTTTTTTTTTTTTTTTCGTAAGATTCCCAATGAAAAAACGATGATGAGCTTCAACATGGCTACTAATTACCTTTGCCCCTAAATCAACTATTTTACTGTCATTATACTTCCTACGCTGTTTACCGGTTAAATGTTCGGCAGCTATCAATTTAGATGATAAGTAGGTGAATACATATCCGAATTAACCATTTAAGAAAAAGTACCATATAATTCCAAAATTTTTGTGGTTTTTAACAGTTCTTCGAGCTCCTTGTCATTCTTTCTATTCAACCTGAATAAAATTCACGGAACAAAATGTGAACATTAATAATGCTCCACGGATTATAATGGGAGAGAACGGCAACAAAGATAGATCCTACTCCTCCTCTCTAGCCTCTTCGTCGTCCTTTGGTGGCTTCGATGCAGGTTTATCCTTCAATTTTGAAATTTTCGAAGACTGTTTGAAAAAAGAATGGACATTACTCGGCCGTATCTCGTTTCATAATGCACAGTACTATTTCCCAACAATACCATAAAAGACTTTCGTTCGCGAATATCGAACGATGAATTCTGTGCTTTTTGTTGTGCTTCGTCGAATACTACTATTTCCGGTCCATTCTGTGGTGATGGGTGAGTGGACTTATTAGGTTTTAATTTGGAAGAAATTTTATTCATCCTTCGAGTGAGAGATGTCTTTGACCAATCAAAAACTTGTTGAAATCATCAAAAAAATATGCAAATTCACGTGCGTTCAATAAAATAGGAATTTCCAACAAAAAAAAAAAAAAAAAATGTCTTCAATAAGCGAGCAACAATTCCACCAAGCTATCACTCTGATCTTCAATTCGTGGACCGCTTTGAGACTTGCGATTGATATGCAATGGGGCGGAATAGATTCTGAGGAGAAACGTGTTTGGTTTGTTAATGTAGTGAGCGATTATTTTGGTAAACGTACGTACGTTCGTTTATAAAGCACCTATTGAGAGGACGCTCATATGAAATTAATGATCATTACAGACGGTAGAGAAGTGGATCCGGATGATTTAGAAACCATTTTGGAACAAATCATGTCCGATGAATTCAATACTTTATTGGAGGATAACTCTGCTTTCCAGGTATTGCATAAATAATTTTACATTTTCCTCTTATGACTTCGGATAATAATAGTACACCGTCGTAACCTATACAGGTATCTAAAAATCTGATCAAGATATATAATGAATGTATGCAAGAAAACTATTCTACCGTTGAAAGATTGAGAACAAATCAGCCCAGTACGTCGAGTGATGTTAGTACATCAATAAAAGCAACATCCGAAATCGATGAGGATGATAGCTCGGACTATGAATCTATAGACGAAATGGATGAGGATCATATCACAACTGTTGAAACAGCGACAGTATCCTCATCAAAGAAGGAGCCCATAATTGACGACGAAGGATTTCAGTTAGTAACAAAGAGGAGACGATAAACGTTATAACAGGATCCCAAGATCATCGTGCTAACTGGAAGTTTTACGGTTGGTTTTATTGTTTGGCGAATCTTTAATTTCATCGTATCTACTTTTTATAAATTCCTGACATTGCTCTACACTTCCACCAGGGTTTTCCAACTGCCATTCTATCACGAAATCCATTATCTCTTTCATATGCTCGCCACCTTTAATATTCAGTAATTCCATGATTTGAGACCCCTAGAAGAATAGAGCTATTTAAGAAAAAATTTACTCAAAATCAATAAAATATTTGAAATTCATTCTTACATTCAGGATGTGTTTATCCTTAAAACACTCTTGCAATCCAAGGTCAAATATCCGATCAACCAAATCGTTATATTTACGAATAATTTGTCTGACCTTATACACTGGGAGTAACATTATCATCAATGATAATTTGACATCTTGAAAACGAATTCTCAACAAACTTACAGGACTCTGTTTTTATGTTTTCAAATTCTGGTAGGAGCTCATATGCCATAGTAATTATGAAGGAATTTATCCAATGAGGCCCAGTTACCGTGCGAATAAATATGCCTACCAATTGAAAGAATTGGTGCTTAATAAAATTGGAAACAATGATAGCGATGAGTTTATGTTACTCATTACCAAGTGATTTTCTATCTAATGGAAACTCGGCATTTTTTCTCGCCAACTCCATTAACGGATTAATGGTAGAAATCAAACTGTTCGTTAATTTTGCATCCTTCGAAGAAAACTATCATGTCAAAAAAATCACAATGAACCAGTCAATAATAGTCTTGCTAATTTATCTCCCCGGGATTACTTTGTATTACCTTAAGGTTATCCTTTAATATATATTGAACTATAATATTTTTACTCCTTTCGTGCAACATATCTTTATAAGGTATCAAAACCGAAGCTAAATAAAGTGACCTAAGATCTTCGGGATTCCGAGGTAAAAGTTCACGATGCACACTAATTTTATCCGTAGGTGATAGGAGCCTACAGAAATGTTCAAACGAAGTGAGCGAGGATCATTCCGTGAATGATTCGAAAGAACTATGCAAGAATCTTTCTGGGGACAGCATGTATATAAAACATATTGAAAATAACCATTCCAGTATCTTCGCGATCTTAACAGTATCTCCAGGGTATCCCATAGTTCCTTCGTATATTTCTCGAGATGGTGGCGTAAATATGGCTTCATACAATCCGAGATCATATATAAGTTCGATAGACATAACCGGATTCGGTCCTATAGGCATTCAAAGTCAATGAGATGTATTTTTGCGTGTCTACTTTGACGAAACGCCCTAAAAGAAACCTTTGATCATTTTATCTAACTCTATCGCGATGCGTTCGCGACTTATTTTTTTACTAAATGCCTCCTATGTTTTCAATAGAAGTTTGTGAACAATCGGGCAAAGCATTTCATCTCTGACAAAATTTGAGATATTCACCTTTAGCCTTTCATCCTTCACTGCATTCAAAATGTCTTCCACTATCGTAAAACGAAATCGACTGGCGAATCTTATACATCTTAGGACACGTAGAGGGTCCTCCATGAAGGTTTCAAACGCAGGAAGGGGTGTTCTAATTAAACCCTCCTTCAGATCAGAGATTCCCTTTGAACAAAAAAAAAAATAATTTTTTTTTTTTAAGTAAGTTCGATTTAATTGTAATGCATAATATAACTTAACCTATCAATTGATATGACACCTTTTTTGTGTAATCTTCAATTTGACGCGTATGTATGTTGTAGAAAAGTGAATTGATTGTAAGATCTCTACGATACGCATCCTGCTCTGGTGTGCCAAACATCTAAACATAGATTTTTAAACAAAATTTAAGTCACTTTTAAAAGGGTGCGAATGAATTATTAAATACTCACGGTTTTGGGAATTCTACTCTCCTCCGCATATTCCTCGCTACGCAAGTTTGCGAAATCAATTTCTTGTCCAAAAATTATTGTAGCAGCAGTTTCAAGATGTTTTGATTTATCGGGGTTTAATTTAATCTTATGCACGTTTCTAACATCCAACCCCTTGAGCCTCAGGTACTCCCCGATTTTCTCGCAGAATTCCAGGCCCATCATGTTATTAATCGCAACATCCAAGTCATTACATTCATGTCCTAGATACTAATCAGCAAAAAAAAAATTCTCGTCAGTTAAAAATTTTCTGTACAACAAAATTTTCGTTTTCACGAAAGAAAGAAATTATATTACTTTATCACGAACCCAACCACCAGCTATCCTAAGTTCAATAGAAGGGAGTTCAGGTTTATTTCTCTTCAAGTACGCCACTACTTCGTTCAAAAGGTCGCATATCTTCGACTCATTTTCGGTCAGCATGATCTTTAGCTCCTTATCAGTCTGTCTCTGTGTACCGAGCGAAGACCGGTTAGTAGCGACGCTCGTTGTTACGGGTCTTCTCCTGGCAACAGAATAAGGCTGATAACGTATCGGTTCGCGCGGCAGTTTTGCAAAAAGTTGATACTGCAGAGGTGTGAATTCTCTAAAATTTACAAATTTATGCGAATCTTTGATCGCCTTAACCAAACTCAAGAGAAGAAAATGACTCATAAAAGATAGCAAATTTAATTGCGTTACACGTTACTTTTTTGTTAATATGCGCACACTTTTGAAATTTCGAATATAATGCGTATAAAAAAAAAAGTTTACATTGTACGAAACCTATAAATAAAATTTTCCATTTTCCGTCCTTATATAGCGCTTGGTTAAACATTCTTTGAAACCGGTTTCTATATTATATTATACACTTTATACTGTATATATTTTTAACTCGCAATCATACCATCCTATATTGCCTATATTGAACAAAAAAAAATTCTTTGCCACTCCTAATTCGTAAGATTTTCCTTATTAGGAAATTTTTGAAAGAGAGGGAAAACAACGTTTTTATATCTAAACCACAATGATGGCAAATATTTCAATGGAAATAAGCTTTTTATATGGTGTTATATTCAAGTATTAAATAGTTATCTCAAGTAAAGAAGTTCTTCTTCAAGTAAATAGGTCATGCTTAATCAGTCTATTTTAATAACTCTAAATAACAAGTCCTTGTCTCACAACCTATATTAGGCTCTTCTAACAAGAAAAGAAAATGTCAATTTCAAAAAGATAAATAATAGAATAACAAAAAATCTATTATATTTGTTAATATGCAAACTATAAGAAAACAATCTTTTCATTTAAAACTATATAAAAATATTTAAAATATAACTTTAACTTTATCAACCATATTACTAGAAAAAAATATTATAGTAGAATACATAAACAAGACATAATACAAACAACTATAGAAAAATACTCAATCAGGTCATAAGAGATGAGATAAAGTATAGGATGAAATGGTTGGATTTTATTCTCTGTCAGAACTCAAAAGAATAATCTGCAGTAATAATCTGTAGGCAATGATATTAGAAATTGGAAGGGTATTTACCTGAACTCCTAATGGAACGATAAATTACTTCCAAAGTTGCACTTAGAAAGGTAAAACAATCAAGACGAGTGAGTTAGTTAAAGAATTAGCTTTAGCGTCTCATATTATATATACAGTTTACAAATGTTTAATAAAGC